TCAATAAAATTTACCTCAGATACTGGGACGTCCATTATATTACAGCCTATCTCTGACAGTCCTGGACTGACTGGAGCGCGATTGCTTCTGAGAGTCTGTTTATAAAATTTCTAAATTGCCTCTTATCCCCATAGTCTCCATCCAAGTACTTGGTCACATCCTGGAGCTCTAGGGTGTTATACAGTGATCTGTCTAACAGCTTCTTCATGTTGATCTCAATTTCAGTGTATTCCTAGAAATGGCTGATCATTTTGCACGCCACTAGCAAGAGGCGTTGAGAGAGATGGGTTTATCCTTGAAAATTGAACCTACAGAATCCAATTGTGCAGATAGTTATGGGCACACCTCAGTATGCCCACATAACAGTACTTTGCAAATGCACTGGTTATTATCTGTGAATAATCTCCTTAATGATATCTGCATATCCCACTCATTCTAATACAGTGGGCATGTTTTTAGTCCTTTCCTTAATGGGGGTACTTTCCAAGTAAAGGAAATTAAGTTTAAATTATTTAAACAAGACTTGAGTCTGTCTTATGCCATTCAAGCAACATCACCAATGCTATCAGTAACATGGTCCTTACGAAAAAGCATCTGAATTTGACTTTTTAATACAAAATATAATTATATTGAGTAATTTTTAAAAAAATCAGTTTCCTTCTGCACATTCAGACAATTTTAATCAAAATAGTCACTCAAATGACAGCATGTGGTAGTCCTCTAAGGACGTTCAGGTAACAATCATTCACATCTCCTAAAAGTATGTCAGTGTTTTTTCAAATGGAGATGTAAGAAGAAGAAAAATTAGTACACACAAACGTATAGTATATAAATACACTTGCTTACACTGGATTTTATATAATCATTTTCACCTCTTTCTTATTAGATTAGAATTTATGTCAATTTACCAAATAAAAATTTTCTTTCTAGGTCCTATTATCAATTACATCATCCAATATATTAGACATGTAACATTTCCAGGAATATGAAAAAAATATTTTTACTTTGAAAAATTAATAAATCTTGTACAAATGAAAATATATATTTAGTTTTCAATATCCTTTACAAATAAATCTAATAAATGTTGTCAAATAATAATTATATTGCTTGATTTATTTCAAAAATATGTTTATTTTAAAAATTTGGAAAAATACAGTTCAGGTTATAATTTTAAATGTATTGATAAATTAATTTTAAAACATTTTTTAAAATCTTGTAATGAATGAAAAAGAAGAAACTAAGGGTCATGATATGGCATTTGATATACTGTCTAATTGGTCTTACATTCCAAACCTTTTTTGCTTTAACTTTTGACCGTCTGCTTGTATCGAGGCAAGCTCTGATACTCCTTCACATTTAATCTACTTTTTCCCAAATATTTTTATCATTTAACTATTCTACATTTACACTTTTAATTTTTCTCTCCATGGAGAAGGGGGTCTCAGAAACAATGGGAAAACAAGCAGAATGATTTACAGGCCTCTGCCTATAATATACAATAATTGTATATTATAATCCTGCAATTAAAGAGATTATAGCCTCTTCCAATTTAGGCTATTAAAATATTTAACAAAGACACTTTTCCAAATTCAAATTTATCTAGAAAGATGTTTTGAAGCTCTGATCCATGGTGAACTGTAACATTATATGTACAAGTGCAATATTATGTGTACTGATGTACTGATGTAAACACTCTCCTATGAAAGTCAAAACAAGGCCATAACTAAAGTACTGTAATCTACTTAATTTCAACAATGCATGCTCTCCTCCTAAATGCCCATCTTAAATGTACTACTTTATTATGCTGTTATATAAGCACTTACATCAATCTCCATGTGTCTAAAGCGGCAGATACTCCTGAAGCATCGACCTTCCTGCCAGAGCACACACACAGTTTCATTTCCAAGGGCAGCTTCACAGTGACGAAAAGGACAATTATCCCCCTATGAAAAATGGTAGAATAATTAAAATCTATGGGTGAAATCCAATATCATGCAAGTTGACTTACATACATAGCATCTTTCCTTCAGCTGATCTCTCTACAAGACCTACATTTAATTTGAAATGAAACATTCAAGATGTGACTAAAGAAGCTCAGCTTTAATTCAAGGAGTTTGAGAAAGGCCCAATACATCAAACCTAACAAAACTTCACTTTGCTCACATCTTGAGTGTTTAATTTCAAATTCAATGTGGTAATGTACAGAGGCCAAATGCTGAAAAAATTATCAGTGTCCCAATATATACAAACCTGACTCTCTCTATCTCTCTCAGTGTATATACAAATGTGTTTGTGTGTGAGAGCAAGGGCATGCTACATACTTATGAAAATGAAAAAACTAGGAAAAAATTCTAAGTTATATAAAATAAGAAAAAAGCAAGTGTATTCTAAATGACGAGAATATATTTTTTCTGACTAGCAAATGAATTGTGATTTAAATAATCAAGTTAAATAAAATCAAAACTATCCCACTGAGCAATTAAATATACATAGATAGATTTAAGAACAATATTCTTTGTAGTATAAAGATGGCTATAATAATAATTTCATATCTTAAGAGTTTTTATTCAAAAGGTTAACAGCAACTCCAGCCTTCAATGTTGCAATGAATAGCAACCATTCATTCATTTTTATGGGAGAATGGTTTACTGAATTTGCTATAAAATTTCATTTTGTACAATGAAAGCATGCAATGTGAAAGTGGGTATCTCCAGGGTTAGTTCTTCTGATGCCCCTTCTCCAGTTTAGGAATGGCAAACTAAAAAAATAAATCAATAAAGAACACTTGATAAATTTTCCATTTATCCGTACTTTGGATATATGAATATATAAAAGGTTTAGAAAATAACATAATATATATATATATATAAAAATATATTAAAAAGCTGATTGTTGCATCAGCTCTTTAATGGTATGGGAATAATGAGACATGTGAATTATATATTTGCCTAATATAATCAAGTTCCAGTAACTTATTTTTGCATTTCCTATATAGAAACATACTACATATTTTCCATAACAACATCAATTAATTCACTAAAATTAATAGGGGTTAAACTGAATATGGTGCAGTTGAGTTACACATGAAATAACACAAATATGCTTAGAAGACTCAACTGCCATGAAAAATACCTTGGTACAAGTAGAGTAGAAATAGAAGTAACAATCATCTCCTTGGTTAGACATATTCAAATTAATTTCCTTCAAGTTTAAGGTGTAGAAACAAATGGCTGAATACAATTTTGTTATTTTTCAGCGATAGTTAATCACAACAATGTTTAAAATGGCACAATCTTCTATACTGGATTTAGCAATATCTTCTTTAAAATATAATCCTGAAAAACAAATGAATAAAAGATTGAAATATCACTGAAAATGTTACATTTGATAGAAACATCAATTTCCATAAAAGTTTAACTCTAATACGTACTGATTTTTTTTAAAAAAGGAGTCAAATTATTACATGCATTTATAAGATAAGAAGATACACTTAAAATTTAGAGCTTATCTTGGGGAAGATATGAAGGAGCTATTAAGGCTTGGAGAAAAGATTACAGTCCAGAAATGGAAGGAACCATGAGAAACTCAAAATAACCCCATTTTAATTTTGTCTAATATGATTGGGCAAACATAGATTTCCAAGATGCCTTACAACTTTCTGGAACCCTTGAGGTGTCTACTTCTTGACTTGGCTTATCTTGAAAGACTGACTTTTACATCCTAATTATAAACTCTAAATGATTTACAATCTAATAATATCCAAATGCAAGTCAAGATACTAGCTATCACCTATACAAGTACCTCTTGGCTTATAACCTTAATTGAGTTTGAAATTACAATTTTAAATTGTGATGGTCGGTAAGCAATTCACATGACACCTGATTTTACAGCCTTTTTCGTGGCAGTGGTTAAGCCTATGTGGTGATTGTAAAGTGAACACTGGTTGCTAAGAGAATCCATTGTCTGCAAATATAAATAAGGTCATGTGGAAAACTAAAATTACTGTAAATTACTGCTAGACACACCCAAAATGTAATCACAAGACCACAGGAGAGATATGGCTGTTGAAATTTCAAACCTGGATCGTAAGTTAGGCTGGGAAGGTCTATCATAACTTCTAACAATTGATAAATGACAGTCAAAGACTACTTGTAAAACGTGTCATGGGATAGCATTGGCTTGTTTGTGAGATGACCTTGTTGTGTCTGTTTGTTTCATAAGGTCCAGCAGGATGAACAGTCTCCAAGTCCCTTCTATTAAGCAATGTCATCTAAAGTCTCTTGTTGCAACCTACCCTATGGAACAATCAACCTTGCTCAGGCTTCTGTAAGACATTAAGGATCTGGCTCTTTGCCAACAGCAGGCCTCTTGTGAATAATGAATGCATTTAATTCATTAAGAAGGGCCTTCTCTGTGGTGGCTCTCTCTCTGCGCAATCATTCCCCCATAGAGTAGAATGGCCCTCACTGTAACACTGATGACCTGGTTCTGCCAGCGGACCTGGGGAATCCAAAGTGGGATAGAGCCCATTAAATGGCTCATGTGATCTGCTGTCACCAGGGCAGGGTGGGTGGGGCGTAGGGTGGGTGGGGTGTTGATTTCATTTTATTATATTAATTTATTTGATGTTATTAGTTTTATTGTTTTAAATCAGGTTTTATATTCTGTAAGCCGTCTTGAGTCACCATATGCGAATAGGCAGCGATATAAAATCAATCAATCAATATTGTTGTTGTTATTATTATTTGGGTTTTGCTTCATGTTTGCAATGATTTCCAATTTGTCTTTCATATCATTGTAGCTATTTTATTGACTGTTAGGAAGCCCAGAGTCATATGTCAACTTGTAGCCATCTAAATATAATTATAATATTTTAAAATATGGTTAAGCAAAATGTTATTAAAACACAGACTTAATTCAACAATACAGACCGAAATACCTTGGTATAATCAGCAGATACTATCTTCAAAACTTCCAGTTATTTTTCTCCTGTAGGTCGAATCAACACTCAATCCATAAAATAGCAACGAGATATAAAGACTTTTCTTCCTCACATTGCCAAGGACACAAATCTCATCCTCATTCAAAATTCAGATAAAGGGTGAATTAAAACTATTGGAGAAAGTAAGTCCATTTGAATAGCCAGGGAAGCTGGAAACAGTGCTTAATTGCCTCTTCAAAATAAATAGTTCATTTAAAGAGGAACTTCTGTTTTGTCTTCCACAGCCAAAGAATTTTACTTTTTTTTTTTAAATTAAAACAATGTTTCAATTTCTGGTCTTCAAGATCTCTTCACCTATTGAAAAAGAGAAAAAAATCTTCCCCGGTCTTTATTAACTGCATAGTAAAATATAGTAGCTTTAAGGTCAGACATATATACACACATAAAGTTGCATATTATGTGTTTATACATGTAAAAATGTATATGCAAGAGCAGTATTAATAAGCTGCATTTCAACAAATCAATCTTCCATGTAATTAAATTTTTGGATGAATAGTTTATCATACAGTACAAACATAAATAGGTATATTCATATTGCATGTCAAACTTTACACGTGTGCCTTGTGAGTACTATTTTTAGGTTAAATGGATAAATGTTTTGTTTAATATTATTTGCAGTTGCAAAGCAATATATTTGGCAGCATAACATTAAGAAAATAAAGCATTTTATGTTCAACCTATTCATTTAAAAAATAATAATTTAAAATTTGTTCTCTTGTTGTCAGTGCAACATTTCCCTGAAAAAAGGTGTTGCTGCTTTTCAGCAATAAGATTGAAATAATGTCACTGATCTAATATCCTAACAATTTTACAGTCACACAGCAAATAAGATGTGTGTAAATCAGAACAGAATTCTTTCCAAATATCATTTTACAGATGTAATTTTTATGAATGTAGAATAGTAAGTTGGAAAGTTTTACTCCAGATAAAATAACATGCCTTTGGATATTCATAGTATGATGTTTCCTCAACTCTAAAAGAGTAGAGGGATTATTTTTAAAAAAATATATTGTTTGTGTTGAAATTCAACAATAGGAATTTAAGAAATGTCATCTGTAAAATTGCTTTTTATTTGCATTTTTTTTATGCAACTTGCTTTTTTTATGCAACTTGTCTTGCTGGCACAAAATGATACTAGTACTCCAGATGGAAAAATCTGAATGAAGGAAAAAGGTTTCTGTCAAATACATATTATTTGCCATAATCATTCAATTTGAAACAAAATATGTATATTTTAAAAAATAATAGATTTATTGTTTAAATGGTTTAAAAAGCTGTCCTTTAGGTGTACAAAGTTTAACACATGTATAACAAGCAAAATTAAAATAATTTTGTTAGGAACATTTTGTTTTCATATACACTAAATAATTTGGGGAATAGTATTATGGTACCTGTCCATTTAGTACATATCCCAAGTATTTTGCATAGTCTGTTGTAAGTAATTTAAGAACATACCATCTTTACAACTTTGGTAACAGATGACTGTTAACAGATAACAGATAAGCCAAAACTATGAACAGTTCCACTGCTGCATTAAAATCCCAACTGTTTTAAAGAATATGAAAAAGATTATTTTTTCCATCTTTTAGTGCAAAAATAAAGTAATTTGTATCTCTGACAGCAGGGAAGTCAATTTATGTACTTAAATGGATTTTATAAAGCTGAATAATTTTGAATTCAGTTGGTACAAAATCCTAAAGAGGGCCATTAACCTTTTGGAGGGGAACTACTATTTCTAGCAATATAAAGTGAATCATCTAAAGGCAGCAGCTCTCAGATTCTAAATTTTCTGCTCATTTCAATTTGTTCCACTTGTCTATGAAATATCGACAATTAGCATGCTCAGATGACACAGGATGTATGTATGTTTACATGATTCTTTGAAGCTGTAAATATAGAAGAGAACACAGAGCTGAGGGGTAGAATGAAGCATGTCATGAAAAGACGTTGCCACCAACAGTCAATGTCCAATCCCTCTTGAATTCCATTGACTATTATCTGATGTAAATTTAATACTGAACTTTAGTTGATTAGATTCTTGTGTATAGGCTTGAGCCCATAGGCTTGACATATAGTCCTGATCCTTTGTGCCTAATAGTAAATACTGTATAGGGAATATTTTCAGCTACATTTTAAACTGTTCAAAACAGCCAAAATTAGAGATATCATTCTACTAATTAACTTGCCATTTCACAGCACTAATTTACATAACTGCAAAGCTCTAAGTAAAATTTAATCAAAACTGTGAAAATATGATCTGACCTTGTTTCTTGAGTGGAGAGATTTGTTGTCCTGAAAGTACTGGTATCCAATTTCTCAGCTATCCCTACCAATATATAGGACAGTATTTATCAATGTAAGTTGTCTAAAACGGTTTTTAATATTTTGATAATTGTTGCAACTAATTAAAGTCTTTCCTCAATTACTACACTTGCCAAGGGCAGCAAATCTTAACAGCTTTCTGATGGGGGAGATTTGATTACAATGTTTGCATATATCAAATATTACCTCTAAAATTATTTATAGCATTCATATTTGAGAATTTTAATTCTATATACACCTCTGAGTAAGTTCTTTTTAGCTCAACTTAATTCTAAATAGATATTCATGGATTTGCAAAGGAGCCTACAGAAGTTGTTCCTTGAAACAAGAATCTAGGAAGACAAAAAGTAATGATTAAATTTGCATCCATTTCTAGCCATGAGCCCAAAGTGGTATTTTTGTTATGAAAGCCTTTTTGCAGGTCTTGGAGGGGAAGAGCAATAGATGATCAGAAATATCAAATCATCTCAAAGGGCTGAACAAGGCTCATATGCAAGGATAGCAGTAGTCACTTATAAATTCCTTTTGTACTCTACTGTCAAAGACAGTCTATATAAATAGGCATGTTTTCACACTAAGCTTTCAATATGAGATAACATAGAAAATAGAATGTAAATTCAAAAAATGAATTTTCTTTGCACTATAACTACATTATGGGCTCTTTTAATCACTACCAATACAAATTTTACCACCACTACCAATACAAATTTTAAGTAAAGTCCATTCTGGCTCACAAAAATGCTTGATGTTACATATTAGCCTTTAAAATTTATAGAATCTGCCTTATATGTTACAGCACACTCCCATTCTAGAACACAATTCCTGTTTGTGGTGTATTCTATATGCCAGGAAAACAGGCAAAATAGGTTAGCCATCATAGTCAGGACTATCCTGTTTTGTCACAGTTGTTTTGTTTAGAGAGGCTGTCTGCTGATAGCCAGCATTTTCTTTTTATACACCCTGTATGTAGCTAATGTGCAGTTGCTAACTAAATGCACTATATTGCCAAAAGTATTCGCTCACCTGCCTTTACTTGCATATGAACTTAGTGTAAGTGACATCCCATTCCTAATCCATAGGGTTCAATATGACATTGGTCCACCCTTTGCAGCTATAACAGCTTCAACTCTTCTGGGAAGGCTGTCCACAAGGTTTAGGAGTGTGTTAATGGGAAGTTTTGACCATTCTTCCAGAAGCGCATTTGTGAGGTCACACACTGATGTTGGACAAGAAGGCCTGGCTCTCAGTCTCCGCTCTAATTCATCCCAAAGGTGGTCTATCGGGTTGAGGTCAGGACTCTGTGCAGGCCAGTCAAGTTCATCCACACCAGACTCTGTCATCCAAGTCTTTATGGACCTTGCTTTGTGCACTGGTGCACAGTCATGCTGGAAGAGGAAGGGGCCAGCTCCAAACTGTTCCCACAAAGTTGGGAGCATAGAATTGTCCAAAATGTCTTGGTATGCTGAAGCATTCAGAGTTCCTTTCACTGGAACTAAGGGGCCAAGCCCAACTCCTGAAAAACAACCCCACACCATAATCCCCCCTCCACCAAACTTTACACTTGGCACAATGCAGTCAGACAAATACCGTTCTCCTGGCACCCGCCAAACCCAGACTCGTCCATCAGATTGCCCGATGGAGAAGTGCGATTCATCACTCCAGAGAACGCGTCTCCACTGCTCTAGAGTCCAGTGGCGGTGTGCTTTACACCACTGCATCCGACGCTTTGCATTGCACTTGGTGATGTATGGCTTGGATGCAGCTTCTTGGCCATGGAAACCCATTCCATGAAGCTCTCTGCGCACTGTTCTTGAGCTAATCTGAAGGCCACATGATGTTTGGAGGTCTGTAGCGATTGACTCTGCAGAAAGTTGGTGACCTCTTTGCACTATGTGCCTCAGCATCTGCTGACCCCGCTCCGTCAGTTTACGTGGCCTACCACTTCGTGGCTGAGGTGCTGTCGTTCCCAAACACTTCCACATTCTTATAATACAGCTGACAGTTGACTGTGGAATATTTAGCAACGAGGAAATTTCACGACTGGATTTGTTGCACAGGTGGCATCCTATCACAGTTCCACGCTGGAATTCACTGAGCTCCTGAGAGCGACCCATTCTTTCACAAATGAGTGTAAAAACAGTCTGCATGCCTAGGTACTTGATTTTATACACCTGTGGCCATAGAAGTGATTGGAATCTGATTCTGATTATTTGGATGGGTGAGCGAATACTTTGGGCAATATATCAAGCATGGAAATCTTCATTTAACCCTAATCCTAGAAAAACTTTAATATAATTAATTATTAATTAAATAATCAGATGAGTACTTTTTAAAACCCCAAAATTCACAAATTTGCTAGTTGTTTTTTTCCCCTCCATATCCTTAAGGAACCAAAAAATGGGGTTAAAAACAATTATTTAACCAAAGAGGGCTTAAATGGAAGGGGCTAGACTAGGAATACAATGGTAATGCTGTACCGCTTACCTAAAAGCTTTTTTTTTTTAAGAAACAGAAGGTGTGGTCCCGTTCCCCCCGGCTGGTTGGGATAGGGATGGGGAGCGGGAAAAGAGATTCTAAATAAATTAATCAAAACAGAAATTAGGAACTGGGAGCTAAACGGAAAGTTAAGGCGAGAACGTAAGTAGCGCAGGCCTCAGGAAAAGCCGGAACAGGGAAATAAACACAGGCCGAGGCCCAGACTCCGGGGCCTAGAGAGGAAGGCGTCCCTGACGAAAAAGAATTGGATAAATTATACGCAAGGAAGCCGCTGGCCTTACATCGGAGACAGGGGGAGGGGGTCCAGGTCTTTGTCACTCATGCGCAGGGACTTTACCGAACCCCGAGACGACGACGACGACAGCAAACTCTCGGTTCCCGCAACACCGCGCTCCGACCGTTCGTCTGAGGGGCGAAGATTAAACTCCTCGTCGTTGCCGTTAACGTCGCCGCTGCCCACCTCTAAGATGGCACCTCCCCCTGACGCCCAGCAACTTGCCCGGAAGGAACATGGCAAAACTAAAGGAGGGGTTAAAAAAAAAGAGCCGTTCCACTCACGTGATCTCTTCGCTCTCACCATTATGAACGAAACAACTAGCACACGTCACTTCCGGTCCACACAGGAACCTCTTCAGTACGTCGGCGGGTCGCGAGGTGCGCGTGTGCGGGAAACGCAGGACGGGTTTTTTTTAATTTCCTTTTTTTTTTGCTTGCTTTCTTTCTTTTTTAAAAGAAGCTTCTCGGCGCTGTTTTTTAAAAAAATTCTCTGGTTTCTCTATCCTGACTGTTGGCCATGGCGTACCGCGGGCAAGGCCAGAAGGTGCAGAAAGTGATGGTGCAGCCTATCGTATCCTTGTGGCAAGTCAGAGGAAGCGGGCTTTTTTGGAAAAGGGCGGGGCGGGGCCCGTGAGGGGATGAGGGCGAAGGGAGAGAGAGCGGGAGGCATTCGGCCGAGAAATTGGCACGTTGCTCGGTTTCCCGTGTTCTGTGGAAGCTCTTTATGAAGGGGGGAGGGGTAGAAAGAGGTTACTAAGCTGACAGAATTTATTCCCTTGGTGAATCAGCCAGTCACGCGTGCTCGGGTTGGTTATGGTGAGTTATGGTAAAGTAGATTGGTTGAGAAAATCGCCATGAACATCTGGGATATGCTATTAGATTGAGTTATAATCCGGTTGGGAATAGGATTAACATGGCTAAAATCGATTCAGAAAAGCAATTGCTTGTTTAAGTTTGATTCTGCGGTGCCTCAGCCATCAAGATGCTTTCATTTTGTGGGAGTTCTTTTGGGTAAGAGACTTGTGGTGCTTACCCTATCCTGTTTATTTGGACAGTTGGAAGAAGGAAATGTTTAATTTCTGTCAGAATGAATGGGAATACTCCTTTTTATGTATTTTTTTCCTAAATTTATTTGTGATAGAACCTCATTTTCCGCTACCTGCAGAATGTAAGTATACATAATTACATTTTTCAAATGTAACATGTTATAATTACAGATACTGTGGTGTACATTGAGATGTTTTGTTCTCTTTGTATATATAATACAATCCCTCCCCCTTTAGCTTTAATAGGGAAGTGACCAATTAATGTGATTGAAGCATTTTTTGTAGAAAGCTACAGTAAATACATTAGTGTGCATTTCAGAAATGTTAAAAAGTAGTATTTATCATTGTAAGTAATACAACAATGACAGCTCAAAAAGTTAAAGTCAGTAATAGTAAGTTTGAGCTGTTTCTTTCAGAATCTTTGCTTCTGATAAAATTATTTTGTGTTGTAAATGGTTTTAAATTAAAATCTCCTTATTACACCTTGAGTAAATAACTTTTAATAAGGCTTTCATTTTCACTGAAAAAATGGCAGTAGAGAGGACTCAGTAAAACCAGTTGTTTTGGTGGTGGAGTTTCACTGCCAATTTCTAGGTATCAGAGAGCCACAAGAATTTGGGCCATGTAAATAAGATTGTAAGCCTGTACAGAATTCCACAATGTCATAGTTTCTTTGCTGTTTACTTTGCAGAGATCCAGGATTCAGGTTTGGCTATATGAACAAGTAAACATGCGGATAGAAGGCTGTATCATTGTAAGTATTGCAGTAGCTGTCACATACATGTAAAGAAAAATATAACTTAAATAAGATTGCAAAAGGATATCATTTTGTTTTTAATTTCTTTTCTCAGACTAAATGAAATCAATTAGTACAATAAGTAAACACATTTTTCTGAACCATCATCATTTGGGATTAATTATGAAAAACCATTCACTCTATAGTTATCTGGACACTTACTGTGCTTGGGTTAATGCTGACCTTGAATCAATACATTTTCAGGGGCGTTTAAAACTGACCCAACTGTTAAGTACTAACAGCTATTTTCTTTTTCTGAATGTTTAGTTAAATGATTATTCACTTTTTTATGGTTGCTTCTGTGACTTGTTCATTTTATTTCATTTATGATACATCATTTTATTGTGGGAATTTTGATAGTTTTAAATGATAAGATGCAGATATTTTAAAATAAGAGTAATCTGTCCCATTTGATGAGCCTAACTGAATCCACCATTCTTGCATCTTTACTACCATCCTGATGTTGCTTCCTTCCATTAAATGTATTGTTACATTTCTTTGTTCTGGTTCACAGGGTTTTGATGAATATATGAATTTAGTTCTGGATGATGCTGAGGAAATTCACTCTAAAACAAAATCAAGAAAACAGTTGGGTAAGTAAGCTTTTTGGCAATATATATCAGACATCATTTTTTGTTACTAGTAAAAAAGAAATATTTAATTTTGTGAAAATCCATGAAAAGAATTTCAATTTTGCATTTGAATACTAGTGAACAAGCCTCCAAGTAGGCTTGGAACTGCCATTTCAGGTTCCATATATTTAATTGGCACATTACTTGCTAAGGTGAATAGTATCAAGAACAACTGAAAGGTCAAGGATAGGCAAAGGGTAAATACTGATCCCTCTTTCTTGCCAAATATCCATTAAGAAAAGTAGTACAATTTTCCTGTAAAACTAGACCAGGACTGAATGTGGGAATTTTTTTTCATTGCATTATTTAATCACAACTGAAGAAAGCCAAATGAATTGTATTGCTAATTCTATCATAATATATAATAAAATAAAATGCACATACACTTAAATGTATTACATTTTTTAATCATACTCTTTGCCTTTGCAGGTCGAATCATGTTAAAAGGAGACAATATTACTCTTCTGCAAAGTGTTTCCAACTAGAAAATACCTAGTGTTTCTGTTGTAATATTAATGTTTAATCTTTTTAAAAAATTTGCTAGCTTAATGCTATCATTTCTGATTTGGTATCTGAGGCAAGAATGAAGACAGCAACTTAGTTCATGCTTCTGTAATTTTCAATAACTTTTTTACACTTGTGTGTAACTATTTCTTTATAAATAAATGTTTTTATTAATATATTTACCTTCTTTATTACTATTTGGACAGAAATTTTTGAATAATAAGAATACCAGCAATAAGCAGTTGTATTAGAAGATGCAGTTGTTTAAAGTACTAATGAAAGAATATATAGCTTGAAAGATCAGTTCCTAGTTTATGAGATGCTGTGAAATATGCTCTCTGAATAAAAAATGTGATCAGTAGCGTCAGACTAAAACTTAGAAATATAATAATATACAACTCTCTTATAAATATATGACTTAATAGTTTCTTAGAAGAAGCATAAGTTTATAACTGAACCTACAAACCTCTGACTGGATCGGAAATAACCAATTTGTTCTATTTTAGAAATCTTGTTTTCATAACATTTGGGTACTGGATTTGCCTTATTAAATATTAGGATTTGCCTTATTAAGTATTTATTTAGGATTTTATATGATATCTGTGTTGAAGTTCAAGTTTCTTTTTTGAGAAAAATGTAATCCACCCTTAGGTTAAGGAAGTTCACATATTGGCTGCCCTGCTTTGCTTCTGTTATTTATTGGAGGACACTGTCCTACACAAGACATTAAAAAAGCAGTTTGACAAGCAAAGTTAACATGGTAATAGGGATTTCCTTGCTTTTTAGGTAAAAAGTTCATCTCCTTAATTGCTGCTCTTTGCAAGTGATAAGTTCAGAGAACTCTATTCCCCAGAATAGATATAAGGAGGAGTGACTACTTTCTTGTGAGTATAGAGGTTGCTCAAGAAAGTTTTAAAGATAAACCAATTTCCAGGAGTGAATTTACTGAGTAAACATGGAATGAAGGATCAATCACTGAGTGAACACAATTGCTAACAATAATTTGGTAACAAAGCTCAGTGAGAATCCTTAACAAATCTTAGGTCAATAGTACAAACTTGGTTGAAAGGGAACGGCTTTTCTATACTGTATATGACTCCTTGAGAAATAGAAGTAAAGATGAACAGTTATTACTATGTTTAAGATTTACGGTACATGTACCATGTTTCTGTTCCTACTTGAAAATTATCTGACGTTTATAGCAAGTGCAACTATATAGCAATTTTGGGAGAAAATATAAAAACTGGAACTGCAAATTACCATCCTTCATCCTTCTGAAAGAAAATAAAAAATTATTTGACCAAACAAATAAACTACAATGGTAAATTAACAAATATCTCTATAAAGGATAGAAACAAAGAAGCAAATCCAGTTGTATATGCTAACCACTGGTAAGGTAATAAATAATTTTTTGGGCCATTTGGTAAACGAGATGATCCAAAGCTGGAAAAAGGATGCCCAAAATCCATTGACTTGAAAGGCTCCTGGATCTAACGTTTAACTGGTTATATAATACAGTACATCTACTTTGGGCTATTCTTAGCATATCTGGTGCAGCCACCCAAGTTCTGAAAATAATTATTTAATTTTTTCACTAAATAGTGCTCCATCTTTTGTATAATTGGAATTTCAGGAACTGAGATAAAGGCCACATGAGAAGCACCATCCCAGTGCCTTGTCTGTAATACGTCTCTGGCTCAATCTTTGTTAAGAAGTTACAGGTTGTATGTCTCTGTTTCTTCAACTCTTTTGTCAGTGATCTATGAACATATTTTTGTCTTCAACAGCCCTGAAATGCAATCATAACAATTGTATGACCTATTAACATCGCACAGCTAGTATTTCAGATTTCAGCAAAGGTCCTAAAATGCAAAAATACAGCAAAGGGAAAATAATAGTAAATTTAATTAAAAAAACAATTCCTAACACCAATAAGCATCATCCAAACAAAAAGTGTACCAGTACACAAAAATAATATTCCATTTAGATTCAGTAATCAGTTGTACCACTGTGCCGTGAAACTCAAAATTTTCACAATGTCTGCTCATTCGGAAGAAAGGGAAAATAAAACTGCCACTTGTCCAAGTGTACAATTCTAGACTGAAATAAACCAAATCAAAACCATTTTGATCACCTCATTTCAAAATGCAACTACCGGTAGTTTAAATCACTGAGAAAATATCTAGATCATTTTAATTTAGAAAAAGAACAAGCTAAATATATCAAACGTAATGCATGGTTTATAAGAAGGGGAAATAGAGGAAAGTTATATTAAACTCTGCAGTCATTCAATAAAATGGAATGAATGGGTGGCTGAAAATAGACAGGCATATTATTTTTTAATCCAGTATATATGGTGAAAATAATTTCTGGAAAATGCAACAGTCTTCACTTTAGAACACTTTTAAAGAAAATTAGACTAATCAATAAAGAATAAAGTATTTCTAGTCTTGGCCATATATTGCCTGCAAGATTAGGAGTAATTAGGTAATTGATTACCGGCTGCTCCAGCATATGAATAGGAAATTGATGTAACATTTTGGAAATTTCTTCTAAGTAGTGGAGTTGTTTTCTTCTCTTTTTTTGTAAACAGTTTTATCAGCTTGCCTCTCCCAAAAGTGATTCTCTGTAAATGACTATCTCAATTGCAAATAGAGCAGCCTTTTCTGAACGGAAGAAGATTATAAAACAAGGCAATATATATGATATTTGGCTGTTTTTCCTTCTTAGTTTTGTCGGTTTATTCCTTCTGATTCAGTGGTGGGATTCGACCAGTATGCCCCAGTACCTGCGTACCGGTGCCTGCTGGGAGCACCAGGTACTGTTCTGGTACGGTGCTCCGGAGGGCCCACCCGCCTGCCCGCCCTCCTTACCTATATTTGAGCCAATCGGGGCTTACGCACACGGAGCGTATGGTGTCTGCGTGACACTCCGCCGAGCAGCTGGAGCGTTGCGGGCAGTAAGTACGCATGTGTGTGCTGCGCATGTGCACATGGTAGATGCCTGGCCCCGTTGCAGTGTACCGTTTGCAACGGGATCTGGAACCCACCACTGTTCTGATTTCATTACATATATTTTGTTCAGTGATATTATTTTTTTCATATATTTTCTTAAGACGTATATTCAGGTTCCTAAAAAAAAATTAAACCTTGTTGGCTCTTGTAAGAATGAAATGGAAAGTATTTGATTCTATCAGAAATGCTGCAAAATATGAAGAACTTCCAAAGCTTGGTAGAAAATATAGTCATTGTTATGGACAGCAGAGGGCACACCTGCCTTAAGCAAGAAAGGTAATTCTACGATAATAGTGTGTCAGCAATATGGTTCCCACAGTACTCCTGTCTGTTGCTTTAAAGCTCCAAAACAATATGGAAGGATGAGAAATTCTACCAGGTATATGTACGAATCCATGCAACTGCAAAAGAGCATGCTTGACTCTTTCTAATTTGCCCTTATCCAGAAAGATTTCCGTTTTACCAACCAATAGAATAGAATAATCTCCAAAAGTCAGATTTGCTTCACTTTTTGTTTCATATTGCTTTACAAGTTGTATTGTTTTATAATGTGTAGGACTGTTTTATTGCTGTTCGCCCTGCAACTGAGCAAGAACTATCACATTCATTCAGGATAAAATCACTGTAAAAGAGGGCCTTTATAACATGGCATAATCATCATGTTTCAATATATTTGCAGAAGTTGTCAATCCCAGTCTGCATCTTGAAGTTGTGGAGGTAATCATTTTTAATCAATGCAAATTACTTTATGGTGTGGGTTAATAGTATATGGCACATTAGTTTCTACGAAGTGAAGTCATCATTTCCTTCTGTTCAGTGATATTGATGTTGAATTAATGCTGGAAAGCCGTTCCCCATAGTTTTAGACAAGGGTTTTCTAGCCCTATCTGGGGAAGCCCAGTTTCAGTCAGGAATATAGGAAATACACTGTCATGAACATTCTATGAGCACGTGCAAATGAGTAGTTGATCAGACCATTTCATTTGTTTACAAGTGAAACAAAGAAGGATGGATGCCATTCAAATTCGAGACCAGAATCCATTACCTGGCCACTCCAACCTACTGAATAATATGAGTGTCATACAACTGCACAATACTTAATTAGGATTAAAACCATAGTGTCAGTTAAAAAATAACAAACTTAATTTCAGAAGGGAAGAGTTCAAGTGCACATTAGACAAGACAGCAAAAGGAAGAGGAGGATTAAGATGACCTAATTTTACATTGTATTTTGCAACCTACGTTTTGGTTTGGATGAAAGAGTAGGTTTGCCGAGAAAGAAAAGAGCCTTAGAAGAATGTAACCTGGGATTTAATTGAGATGTGAATTTATAGTATAGTAAAGTTAATGCAGATTTTAGAACATCATTTTGTGAGAAGTGCCCTATTATGAATATGGAATAAATATAAACCCAGGTTGTGCCCCCAAATATCTTTATAGATCTCTGCAGAAGAAGCATTCTATAGAAAAGAAACAGCAGGCAAAGGAAACCGGTTAACAGATCAAATCTAGTAATACAAGAAGATGATGAACTTAAGATGAGTCAAGAGAACAATTGACTACTAATGTTCAATTAAGTTTTTACACAGATAAGTAAATAATGGGAACTGAACAACATGAGACAGAATTTGAAAATTATGTACAAATGATGAATATGTGATTGCAAAAATGTATAAATGTTTGTTAAGATTTATAATGAGGAACATGGACTGCATGACAAAATGTCTAGGAACTTTGGTTATAATACACAAATGTGGGTAAATGGGATGAAATTCAAATTATAATTTGAGATCAATTTTTTAAATAAAATAATGTATCTTTAGTATATGACACCAGAAAAATTATCAAAATGCATAAAGTTAATTCTAGCCAATGTTGGAAATCTGAAAAATATGAAGATATAATGCATGGTGTATTTGAACAAAAACAAATTGACACAAAAGAAGAAAATAAAATAAATTTATACAAATACATGATGCAAAGATTTTAAAAGATTACTGTTTCTCACGTAGTTCTCATATGTAATCATGTATAAATTTGCAGTTTGGACTGTCTATCTAATGCTAAGTAATCAAATAATTTAAACTAGCTACTTCTCAAGAAATACAGTCATCAGAACATTTTGTATGTAACCTTTTTTCGGGCAATGAGTGCATTCATGAGG